ACTGTCAAGTTGTGTGCTACGCACCATTGTTCCACGATCTTCAGTGCAAGTCTCATTTGATCGCATGTAATGCTCTCAAAAGGACCGCTGATGAGAATAGTAAGATCGTCTGCATAGCCTATTGTGAGGCATCTTTGGTCATTAAGTTGTGCGATGAGCTCATCCACAACAATGTTCCATAGAAGGGGGGAGAGTACACCGCCCTGGGGGCAACCTCTAGCCACCACTGCTCTAGTCACTTCGCTTACAGTGAATTGAATAGCTCTATATCTTAGCATGCTGTCGATCCACCCTGAGATTGTGGAATCTACACCATGCCTAGACAGAGCTTGGCTAATGCTGGTGAAGTTGGTCTTGTCAAAGGCTCCCTCGATATCGATAAAGATGGCCAGTGTTGACCTTTTGTGATTTAGATTGTCTTCTATATATGAAACAACTCGATGTAGGGCAGATTCTGTTGATTTACCCATCGAGTATGCGTGTTGATTGAGGTGTAGAGGGTGACTGACTAACGCAGTTTCCCTGATTTCCCTATCTATTAGCCTCCCGAGAACCTTTAGTAAGAAAGATGTGAGACTAATAGGTCGGTGTGATTTAGGTTGTGTGTAGTCACCTTTACCAGGTTTGGGGATGAAGACTACTTTAACTTCTCTCCATTTCAAGGGGATGTACTGATGCGCCAGGCAGCCCCTATAAATTTTTACAAGATGGTTCAGTAGTGTCATATCACACCATCTCAGTAGGCCTGGGAAGACACCATTTAGTCCTGGCGCCTTGAATGGTAGGAAGCTGTTAATTGCCCATCTTAGTTTGTCATGGTTGACAACTTGGCCGTATCCCAGTCTGTATCATCTGGTGGGTTTTCCCATCTGTCTTCCCATTTTTCCATCACATCTGATATGCGACTTCCAGGGAAGTGTGTTTTTAATAACAGCTCTGAGGCTTCCGAGTCTGTTTTGGTATACTCACCATCAGGCTTCTTCAGTGAGCCAAGATTGTGTTCGCCTCTGCTACACAGTATGTTTTTGACTCTATTACCCTGGTTGTTGTTCTCTATGTTAGTACAGAAGTTTCTCCAGCACTCAGTTTTCCTGGTTCGAATTCTCTCCTTATATTGTTGTCGGGCCTGCGTGTAGGCATCCCAATGTTGGTCTAATCACGAGTTTTTTGCTTTATTGAACAACTTTCTCACTTTACGACGTAGTCTTTCCAGTTCCGGACCCCACCATTGGTGGTTTGTTCTGTGGTCCAGTTCTGGGTGTGGAAAGTGGGCATGTTTGTTCAAAGCAATCGATCAGTGTCTGTGTAAGGTTGACAACATGACTGTCAATGTCCTTAACAGTCCCCGTAGCGTATCTTGGGTTGATGCTTCGCAGTTTCTCCGCAGTAAGATGTTCATACCGTTTCCGGTCCATTGTGCGGGGATTCCGTCGGGGATCGGGTAGTTTAAGTTTCATTTCAAAGTTAAATTTGATCCAGCGATGGTCTGAGCACGATGCTTCGTTCGAAACATGCCAGTTCGATATGTGTTGCGATGCGTGCTCACTTGCTAATGTAAGATCAATTATAGTTTGGGCCCTGGATGTGACAAATGTCGGCTCCGAGCCCACGTTTATAATGTTAAGGTTAGTTGATAATAGGAACGATTCAAAGTCGGTGACAAAAGCACTAAATCTATCAAACAAAGGTCCCTTGTATGACGCGACAAATCTTTAAAAAACCTGAAGAGAAAATATGTAGTGGGCCCTAGCTAGTGACCAACCCGGTCTGAGCAGTACTGCTTCTGAAAGATTTATAATTGAAGGAGACCGAGACCAACCCGGTCCGAGCAGTACTGCTTCTGAAAGATTTATAATTGAAGGAGACCGAGATCTCGTTAGTTCAAATAATTTTGCAGCTGGACCCCATACCCTTTATTACAAGAAATTATTATACCAATTACGGAATATTGATAAGAAAGACGCGATTGAATATGATTTTTATTATGATTTTTTATTGATTGATATTTGATATGATTGAATATTTGAAATAAATATAATATTATTTTTTGGTATTGATTTTTATTGATTCGTGTTCAGTATCAGTGGTATAGTCACCTCCTACTAACTTACTATTTAGGTATTATTCGTGTACACAAAACATTTCGTAATATTGTATAACGCAGTCATAGTTTGAATACAGTTGTTTCATCTGATTATTATACGTATACTACAGAAGATACGCGTCGAGCGAGCGCGTAGGTACACGCGCGATCGTTTTCGATGTGAGGGGAGCGGGCAGGGGAGCGCGGGTGAATTCTTAAATTTTGCTGGCTTTATACGCGCTCTTAAGCTACGTGGTGAATACTTTGAAAAACAATAAAAAGTACTATAAGGTTCTAGTTGTGTTTTTTTCTTCAAACGACAAAACTTATAAGGCATGCCTCGTATATGTCGTTATTTGCGTTACAATAGGTGCGTAACTAAACAGACTGTTGATAATTACTAACTTTTGCCATTTCACGCATCTCTCTAGTTTATATAAAATTGGTTACAGCAATGACTCTTTATTGTTTTCCTTCTTAGTCAAAAATATTATTTTTTGATTTCACAGTAAATATCTTGATTTATTTGTTTTTTTAAGATATTTGTGACATTTTTATTTATTTCTTTATTTATGAGACACATACTACTATACAGATACAACTATTTTTACACATATTACATATCTATTGGTTTTTTTGATTATACTCAGAGTACATTAAGTTTTTTTTAAGTTTGATTTGTGGTCAAGTGATGTCTACTATTCTATACTGGATTTAACTAAAGTAAAAAATAATTTTATCAAAAAATACTAAACTCGCATTAAATGTTTAGGACCTATGACACCAGGCATCCACATACATATTAGTCTCATTAAAAACGATTTTTCAAGTTTGTGACAGGAAATTGTTGTTCTTTGATCAGAAGTAGCCTATGTAATCACATACAAACAAACTTTACTCTAATTAATAATTTCTTTGCTATTTAGTTTCAAACCACCATTTTATTAGAAAAAAAAATTTAAGGACTAGACGGGTCACCTGAATGTAAGTGACACTACCTCTCTTTGACAATTGCAACTCAAGTGTTTAAAGGTAGGCACATTTCCACCCCTTTATACCCTCCCAGAACAAGGGAGTAAGGAAAAAATTGCTGGACACTAATTTTTGTGAGGCAGTGAGCTCAATCTGGTCGAGCAGTGCATGGCTCTGTCAGGGTTAAATCATTTCAAATAAATACTGGTTTAGGTCATTTAAATAGTTAAGAACTTTGTTGTCTGTGTGGTGACAGATTAAGAATATGGTATGTCACTACCCCTATATATAGAGCCGACTAAGGGAGTACACAGTACACAACAATACTGCAAAGAGAAGGAAAACTTGAAACAAACCCTATACCAACATGTCTGGCCAGCGTGGTATAGAAGGCCAAAACCTCCTTTATAAGGAGAGGCCTATGTCCAGCAGCGGACTAGTACAGGCTGTTGAATTGATTATGATTTTATGATGAACTTACACAGCATGCATGAAAACATTGAACACATAAAGTTTGAAAAATTCTATTTATTTTTCAAGTTCATCACCTGTGCACATTTGTGGTACTCACATTTGCACTAAGAACTATGTAAGTTTAAGAAGTTGGTAATACCCAATTAAGAATCCATGCACCAAAACTTTCTATAGTTTAAAGGGAATTTCATTGTATTTATGGCTTCAATAATATTACTAATTATTCAAAAAAACAGTCTTCATCGTTTGTGTCATCAATGATAGAAATATAAAAAATTATCAAAAGTAAAGAAGAATATAAAAAAGCTGGTCATTTTTTTAGCAAAACTATACTTACCGTTATTAATCAAATTTTACCATACAATTTATCCTTCAATTTAAACATTGAAATTTAAACTAAAAAAATTTAAACCGATAGGAAATAAAATAAATAACACTGGATAACTGACTCGACTGACTTAGAAACCAGTAATATAATCAAGTAAATCCTAATACTATTAAAGATAACACAAAATATCAGATAACCATGTAGGTACAATTACTTTAATGTTATCTCTCCTTTATAAATAAATTCGTAATATAAAAACACTGACAACTAACGTCAAATAAGTTGATAATGTCAATGTTGTTGTAAAAACCGTTATCAGATAGGTAGTTACCAATTATAATTTTATTGTAGGGTTAAGTTACTTCAGGCCTTGACACTGAAACACATTGGCTGTCGAAGTTCATGGCCACCTATTTATTAGCGGGCAGTATTCTTAATTTTCAGGTCTCTAATCCAGGAGAATTATGAATTATGTTGAAAATTAATTATTACCTATGTTGTTTGTGAATAATTAAAAAGTCATTAACATGAGAGTTTTAGCATAATAGGTAACACTAACTGTATTTATTTTATTTCATTTCAACATATTCTAGGTAAGAAGGTATATTATATACCTAAGTTGTCAAATGAAAGATTTATTGAAAAGACATTACCTCTGTCCAAGTACATTGATATTATACTTTTCGCTTTATAAAATAAAAAAATAGAACCTTCCGTTAAAACCAATTTACTTGGGTTACTAATAAGATAGTAAACAAGCATAATAAACTGCAAAGCCTTTAACAAAATCTTGATATTTTTTTAAAAACTTGATTTGGTTACTAGGGAGGGACGCCGAATTGCTCCCAGCTACAAAAAACAAAGTTTCGAATGTTTTGAATCAGACTATTGTCTGTTCACTCACAGTGTTTTTTCAATTGTCAATAAGTAGGTATTATATCAGACAGCAACTTTATACAGAAAAAGTTGCGGTCTAATGTATACCTACCTACTTACGATTTACTTTATTATAAACCCGAAGTATAATTTAAGTGACTTAAACGCAAATAAAACCATTTAAAACATAATTTACATTTAAAAAAAAATGTTAATTGTATCTGTTAAGTAATTGCAATAAGAATTTATTTAAAAATTTTAACTTACTGTTTTTGTTGCTAAGGGTGACGGAGCGATGTAGCGTCCAAGCGTCAGATTCGAGCGTCAGTCTCGTAAATATGGCTGGCAGGTAACCGCTCACTCCTAACAAAAGAAAGCGTCAATGACAGCCGAAAGTTTCCGAAAGTTGCCGACACCAGCCGACAGGCAGAATCAGCCAAAACCATGACGCGTCAGCTTTCCGGGCAAGCCTGGCCTTGACCTTAACTTAACCATGGCAACCAAAAACTGGCAACTCATGTTTATAGCTCAGCGCCTCTTTTAGCCACACACGGCACGATTGTACTAGATTTTCAATCGAATCACGTCGTGTTTAAGCTTATAGGTATACTATATATAATACAGGTAGGCTTATACTATATAATACATAATATTTCAATCTGCTTTAAGGTGGCATACGAAGCGGACTTGTTCAATTATTTTTTTTACAATGACAGTATTAAAATATTTCATCAGTTCGGTGGTTGAATTTATAAAATAATTTATATTTTAGACTAACACAGGCAGCATCTCTTCAAAGACAAAAACTATTAGGTTCTATACTTCTGTATCTATACTATATGTATCTATACTTAATTTTATAAAGCTGAAGAGTTTGTTTGTTTGTTTGAACGCGCTAATCTCAGGAACTACTGGTCCGATTTGAAAAATTCTTTCAGTGTTAGATAGCCCCTTTATCGAGGAAGGCTATAAGCTATATATCGTCACGCTAAGACCACTAGGAGCGGAACACCAATGAAGAATGTTTAAAAAACGGAGAACATTTATTACTATTGAGAGACGCAGACGAAGTTGCGCGGGTCAGCTAGTAAGTAATAAAATATTTCTTATAAACGTCCGCCGAGCACAAAAAATACGTATAATCGAATAAATTTTGGCGATACCTATTTAATTGGTTGGTAGTGTACTTTCTGCCTATGGTAAAAACTTTTAAAAACATGTATTTAGACTTATTTATGTAGTTTTATAAATCTCAAAACATTTCCATCTATATTATAATACGTCATTGCCATCTTCTAGATGTTTAGCTCCTGTTGTCATATTCCTACCATAACACAATCTGTTAAGAGTACTAAGTAGTAAGAACTAACATCTCGATGAACAAAACAATAAAAATGACAAAGAAATTAAAAAGTACAATATAAAAACTAGTAACTACAGAACTTTCTAGTTTTCTGTAAATATTTAAGTATAAACGGATTTGTGTATTAATCTAAACATATTTGTATAATTACAGATATTATGTGTTATTAATCCACATTCCCTTAAAATGTAAAAATCCATAATGACCCTTTTCGTGTCAAGTAATGTTTCCGTAATGGCAAGGCAAAAGCTTAGTCAAATACCTATGTAGGTAGCTAACTATTATTAAAAAAAAACAACACTGTACTAACCTCCAAATTTTAAGGTTAATAATCCGAAACTTTTGAATAAATTTGTCATCGTAGAAATTACACAGCTTCAAGAGCCACAACCTGATTAAGGTTATAAGAACTCAAACACTTCACAGTATCAGTACCTATTTTAAGTTCAAATTAAAAATAAAAAGTAAACGCTTACAAAATGGAAAAAAAAAATGTAAGCGTCGTACCGAAACAGCCGACAGTAGCAATAAATCTATCCTCTCATTGGTTCGCCGTTATCGGGGATATGCTTTTACAAAACAAATACAGAATAAAGTCACGAAGACGCTAGTCGCATAGCCGCTATGCGACTAGCGTCGCTATGCCATAGCGTTGCCGGGAGTCCCGAATGAGTCTTGAAAACGAAGCTCTGTCCTTATGTGTAAGTTCCTTCTCGCAAAAGCAATGTACTAGTGAGCAATATAATATAAAGAGCTAACTTAATTCTTTGGAAATTTTCAGAAATTGTCTATAATATGGTAATAAACGAAGGTGTTTGCGCACGAATGTGTTTTTTTTTTAAATAAAACAATAGGAATTTAATGAAAGTCCGTTACCAAATTAAAGTTATGAATGGGCACCTTACCTGTAAGCCAACATGTAGCAAGTACCATCCGTCGTAGAAGTTTTTAAATTCTTTCTCCTCGATAAATATAGTCGCCAAGCATCAATTCCAACTCATCGTTAGCATGGTAACATATTACCGTGTCTCTAGCCAGTGGCACAAAACCTTGGGTCTAGTGGCGGTTTAACCCTAAGGCAAAGTAGGCATGTGCCTAGGATCGTGAGGTTATAAGTGTTAAAAAATATATGCCTAAAGTAAAAAGAACTGTATCCGTAAGTATGCACATACTTACATAATATAAAAAAACCTTAATTCTAAAGAGATGCTTAAGGTTCACAACTAGGATTTATATTACGTAATTGACACTACTTCTCTGCTTTTATTTTCTGATACCTACGAAGATTGAGTCAAGTGCGTATACACAAAAATGCAGTTGCTACAATTGCAGCTGTAGTGGTGATTACTCTATAAGTTGTAGCAATAGACAAGGGTTGTCCAGACAATGGCACTATACGGTGCAACGGTATGGGCGGAAGCTTTGATCGCCCAGAATAAGGAGCGCTCTGAGGGTGCTAACTCTCAGAGGGTGCTGGCGGATCTCTGCCATGGAATTTAGAGGTGGAAATGAGTATCTAAAGGCCGCTTGCCGAGACACGATGACTTGTTCGTCGTCGCGCCTGGAGGCTTCACGTACTGGCTTTGGGCGCCGTGAAGGTGGTCTAGCCTGATTTGTCTAGTAGGCAGATGGTAGCACGGGACCCTTTCCTTCCGACTGACGCAGAGATATTTTCTGGGCACGTCTGCTTAGAGAGGTACCAGCAGTCGTTTGCTAGGAGTGAATTGAGTTGCGCCTGTCACTACTGCAGGGCGCTCTTAATACTTAATTCGCCTCTGGTTGGGTTCCTTTGTGTACCTTAAAATTGCATGCCTTAGATGTATCATTCCTTTTTAGCTGTACCTACTACATTGACCTACGTTTTAAATCTCTGAAATTGTACAATTTAAAGCATATGTAATCGCTGCAATATATGCATTATAAAAGCACTCTCTTTTTCGTATTGAAACCACAAAAAAAATGTATCGCGCCAAATGACGGACCTGTTGGTCTAGTGGTTAGTGGCCCTGACTGCTAAGCCGGAGGTCGTGGGTCCGATTCCCACCCAGGACAAATATTGTGTGATGAGCACGGTAATTTTTTCGGTGTGTGGGTGTAATTTATCTACAGTATGTATGTATTTAAAAATGTATAAGTATGTTCATCAGCAGTCTGGTTACCATAGTACAGGCTCTGCCTAGTTGGGGATCAGACGGCCGTGTGTGAGATGTGTGAAGTTATTATTATTAAATACAGTAGGTAGAGATAATGACGATGATAGCCTTTACATTTTATAATAGACGAAATAGTAAATTAATACAACAAATAAGGGAAGTAGTAGTCTTTCCCTTAACATCGCTAACCGAATGTAGGTACCCTACAACACTGATAACAATAAAGTAGATATATTTTCAATAAAGTACTGCTCGAGTAATCCCGAAGTAGTTAAGTAGGCATTTTACTATTATATATATATCCAATAGAATTGACGACCGAATGGCGTAGTGGTTTGTGTAACGGACTGCTATTCCAAAGGTCGCGGGTTCGATTCCCGCTCAAGTCAAGCATTTGTGTGCATGAACATTTAATGTTTGATTTGGTCTGGGTGTTTCTATGTATAATATGTATGTATTTACAAAAAAAAAAAAGTATATATGTATTTATATCAGTTGTCTAGTACCCATAGTACAAGCTCTGCTTAGTTTGGGACTAGATGGCGTTGTGTGAATGTGGCGCAATATAAAAAAATAGTAATATTTTACAAAGACTACAGATAATCAGAGAACACTAAATAAAACATGAAAACCTGCAACATTAATGTTCTCGCTTAGCCCTCATTAGTAAACATCAGTAAAATAACGAAAAAATGTAATTGGTTAGGAAGTTAACAGATAAATACATTCCTATCCACAGCCTGTTAAGCTTCTTTATTTCATTTTGTTTATTAAATGCGCATTACACATTACAATCAATTAAAACATAAATCATAAATATATCGTTAAGATCTGGATCGTAACGTAACGCATTGTGCATAAAGAAAAACAATAAAGATTATAAAAAAATTAGCGGCAATTCATAACATTGTTCATCATGTGTTCTTAGACCAAAACGAATCGCGTACCTGCCTCAGTTAGAATAGAAGAAAGTGAGAGTGAGAATCCTGAGATAAGTAGGCACAAGAAGAAATCGAATTTGAATATGAATCGATGGTGATTTACAATCTCTCTCTCTCTCAATTTAAGAGTCAAGCCATTGTCGGTGGGCAATCGCCACTCCTCTCTATTTCCTGCGATCTGTTTGACCTCTTGATAGGTCACGATTCTCAGTTTGATTTACAATACTTGATGAAAGATGTGAAATACCTTTAATTAAAAATAAATCAAATCAAGTGATATTGAAGTACCGGGTACGAACAATCTTAACATGAAAGTAATTGTTAGAGACTGATAGGTAATCACATCTATTATGCATACACAACAACAAACAAGACAAAAATATTTTTTAAGTTTTCAAACATTTCAATAAATGAAAAAAAAAACTGAAGAGAATAAAAAAAGAAATAAGAAACATATCCTAGAGACCATAACTTTAACTTACGGTACTATCACCTAAACGTCAAAATAGCAAGTAGTAAAAATTCTTACAACAACTTCGGTATCTACAAGTACCTACCTCGTACAATCTATCTATCAAAAAAAAAAAAAATATTAAAAACAGGATCGCTATTTAATTAGAAGAGCAAATCTATTTGACGAAAAATTTAAATTTGTTTGCAATCTCTTTAAATGCTGTAAGAGACTATAATGGAAGATAATTTATGTTTAGGATGTTTAAATATCTATTGATCTTTCATATCCAAAGAACTAGAATACCTTTGTATTTAAATTCCTTTTATATTTCAATCTCGCATATAATGTTTCGTAAATAAACCCAAAGTATTACCTTTAAATATATTTTTTTATTATTTATAGTTTCTTGGCATGTAAAAGGCCTTCGTGTATTACCTCAAAAATTGTCTAAGATTAAATTTAGCTCTGAATATTTATAATATATTGCTTATTATGACTTTGCATTTGGAAAAAGGAAATTTACACATAAGGACTGATATCATATTTCAATCATTTTATAGGGGCGGGCGATTGAAGTGCACCTTGGAGGCAAATCGATGATGGAAACCTATTTGTTAATTTGCCTATCTAGTCACTTCGCTACAACCATTCACTTTTGCGGTCTGCGAACCGAGTGCAAGAAAGATAATGATCAATGATCATGAACATGCCTTTAACAGTCCACTGCTGGACATAGGCCTCTCCTTGGAAAGGAGGTTTTGGCCTACTATACCACGCTGGCCAGACGGGTTGGTATAGGGTTTGTGTCAAGTTTTCCTTCTCTTTGCAGTTTTGTTGTCCTGCATAGTTTGCTCCCTTAGTCGGCTCTTATGACACCCACGGTGAATGAATGAATGATGAATGGGGGTGGTGACAATCCGTATTCTTAATCCGTCACCACACGGACAGCAAGAAAGATACCGGCGTCAAATTTTATTTTATTTTATATATTACTTTTCTAGCCTACAGTAGTAGTAGATTTCAAAGTGTAAACTCAGATTACCTGAGATAACAATTCTCCTCATATTTATTACTAAAGATCCTCTAAAACCTGTCAAAATGACAGGCGAAATGAGACACCGGAAATCTCCGAGGCTCCGGGCGGTTGCCCTGCTACAAAGAGCGCCACTGATTCTTTACTACTAATAGATATTTAATAGTCACGTTGAATGCCATTAATATTCCAAACTGTTATAAATAAAAAAGAAGAATGAGTAGGAAGAATTCACATCAAAACTATTATCACCATTGTCTATTGTTGTGAAATTCTACTTTAGTGAAAATTAAAGCAACCCCTCATTTGTATACTTACACCTGGAAGATACTTGTTTGTATACTGCACGGCATCGACGGCACGGTTCTAATTTAGTGGGTACCGAATTTGGCTTGTCCCCTACTCTCTTAACAACTTGTTTTATTGACTTCCCTATTTGTAATGACGTCTATTCAGGTGCCTAGAGTCAAATATTATTGAGAAGTAACGCGCTTGTGACTGCTGAGTTGCAGGCGTTCATCTCGTCGACCCGTCAGCTCGTTAGCCCCCTATTCCATATTTAAAAAAAAAACAGCCTAACTTGACAAGAATCTTGTACCTACCTTTGAAAATTTGGGCTGGGTTACTTTTTTTACAAATTAATTAACTCAAATTCTTATTTGCAACATTCAAGATACTATATTAGTTGTGTTACTTGTATCAACTTGTTATAAAAATGACTAATATTTTAGTAGGAAGTTGTTGTTCATCATTCATCATTGTTGTACTTTAAAATAAT